GTACTCCAGTGCCTCCCAAACTTCGTTCTTCCTACCTTGAATTTCTGTGCCCTCCCTTCCAGGGCACCTGCCCTGCCAGGCAACAAACCACCAGCTTCTCCTCCACCCAGAGAAAAGCTGATGATGCAGGTGCCTTGGTCCCAGCCTCTATCTCCCTGCCCTCTCAGGTGTGCGCTACAATGCAGAAAAGAAGAAGGTTGGCAATTACTACACAACTCCAATCTACAGGTAGGAGCACCTGGTGGCACCTTAGGACAGGTATGCCGTCACAGGTTAAAGGGTCCGTAGAGGAGTCTTGAAGGGGAAGGGAACTTGGCATCTTCCTCTAGAGCCATTCTCTGTATAACTGTCCATCTTGGCCTGTCAATCAGGGTTTGTCCCTTCCTCCTCCAACCCTTCATGGCCCCCACCTTCCCCAGTAAAAGCTCAGGCCCCTCATTCACTCTGCTTCAGGCCATGAGGCCTCTGCTCCAGGAAGCTAAATGGCCCCATCCCTGTGCTACTCAAACACTACCTTCAAAGGGACATTTTCTTTTTTTTTTTTAATAAACGATGGCTTTTATTTGTTTTTTATAATTTTATTTTTATTTTATGTGCTTTGGTATTTTACCTATATATATTTCTGTGGGACGGTGTCAGATCTTGGAATCTTGGAGTTACAGACAATTGTGAGCCACCATGTAGATGCTAAGAAATGAAACCCAAGCCCTCTATTTTTTTATTTTATTTTTATTTTTTTTAATATTTATTTATTTATTTATTATGTACACAATATTGTCTGTGTGTATGCCTGCAGGCCAGAAGAGGGCACCAGATATCATTACAGATGGTTGTGAGCCACCATGTGGTTGCTGGGAATTGAACTCAGGACCTTTGGAAAAGCAGGCAGTGCTCCTAACCTCTGAGCCATCTCTCCAGCCCCCAACCCAAACCCTCTAAAAGAGCAGTCAGTGCCCTTAACTCCTGAGGCAGCTCTCCAGCCCCAAAGGGACCTTTTTTAAAGCCATCACCTCTTATATGGTCACTCTTCGCTGGCACGTGTTCATCGTCACATCAGCCCTTCCCGAGCTGATTGTCACATGTCCATCATCGCATCAGCCTCTCCCAGAGCAGGTTGTCCTACTCCGCTGGCCAGCATCATCCCCAGCTGCTGGCACCAGCCTGGCACAGAGTAGCCAATAGAGGGAGGGTGGGAGGATGCCCAGGTGGTGACCTGTTGAGTAAGAGAGTGAGTAAATAGAGGATGGGTAAATGGATGGATGGCTGGTGGGTGGATCTATGGGTGGATCCATAGATGAACCAGTGGGCAGGTAAGTGGATGATGGATTAGTAGGTAGATGGACAGACATGTAGATGGATAGATGAATGTATAGGTGGGTGGATAAGAAGACAAGGAATGGGCAAATGAATGGAAGAGCCAGCTTTAGTGTCTGGGTGCTTGATTGTAGGCAGAGACTCTTACTGTGTAGCCTAGGGAGCACTGGGGTCACAAGTGGATGCCACCACACCTATCACTAAATGTTGGGTTTTTGTCACACTGGGGGTGAAAGCCAACACTGGAGCATGCTGAGCAGGCCCTGTACTTTGGACCCCCAGCCCCATCCTCAGCCTCTTGGTTGCTCTTCTGGTTGCAAGCCTGCAGGTCTTTCCAGAGTTCTCCCAGCTCTAAGCTGGGTGCGGTGGGTGCTCGGACAGTGGTTCTGGGGTCTCAGGAGAGCATCGCTGCATCCTAACTCCAAGTCCTTTGTAGGTTCCGAATGAAATGCCACCTCTGCGTCAACTACATCGAGATGCAAACAGACCCTGCCAACTGTGACTATGTCATCGTGAGTGGTGCCAGCCGCAAGGAGGAGCGCTGGGATATGGAAGACAATGAGCAGGTGCTGACCACAGGTGAGCACCGCATGCTTGCCCACCCCACGTGACCCCAGGTCGCTTCCCCAGAGTCATGCTTACGTGGTCCTTGCAGAGCATGAGAAGAAAGAGAAACTGGAGACGGACGCCATGTTTCGCCTGGAGCATGGCGAGGCCGACCGCAGCACGCTGAAGAAGGCCCTGCCTACACTCAGCCACATCCAGGAGGCACAGAACGCCTGGAAGGACGACTTCGCTCTGAATAGCATGCTGCGCAGGCACTTCCGGGTGAGGGAACCCCACAGTGGACATCAGCCGGCTCAGAGCTGGGAGACTGTGGTTCAGACCTGTGTCCCCTCATCCCATTTGCAAGCTGGTCATTTCCCCTCTGAGCCCCAGGCTCCCTGTATGCAGCACAGAGTCATGTCCCTGCCTAATCTCTTCCTGCTGCTCTAACAAGCATAGCACAGACTGGGAAGTCTAGCATTGAGGCATCTACAAATTGACTGTGTACAGAGTGCCTGGTTGGGTTCCTCGGAACTTCCTGCTGCATCCTCAAGGCACAGACAGGACACACAGGCGCCCTGGGGACTCCTGTGTAAGGCACTGACCCCCGTTGATGAGGGAGAGCCCTCACGACCTGGTCACCTGCCCAAAGTCTCATGTTGTCAGCCATCACAGAGGGAACGATGTTTCAGCACAAGCAGGAAGCCAGTTTTGGTCATGTCTGTCTGTGCTTCCAGCCACTGGGGGACTGAAATGGGAGGCTCATCAGAGCCCAGGAGTCGGAGTCCAACCTCAAAAACAGAAAGCTGGGCCTGGCAGCTCGTGCTTATAACCACAATGCTAAGGAAGCTGAGGCAGGGGAACTATTTCAAGTTCCAGGTCCATCTGGGTTGCAAAGGGAGACCATGCTCCTCACCCCAAAAAGTGGGGGGCGAGTAGAAAAAATTTCTAGGACCTCCGAATTACAGTATGGCCCGAGCTTAAGTGTGATCTTAAATTCTCTGTCCCTGCCTGGACCTGTTGGGACTCCAGGCATGGGCCACCACACCTTCTTTATCACATCTTCCGGAATTTATCTAGTGGGTCACACCTGCAACCCATCATTGGTCAGCATGTAGTGTTATATAGCACATGGTCATCTTTTTGACATTGAGGGCTTGAGGGACCGAATGCATGAGCCCTGCACGTGGGGCCACTTTTGCATCGCAGGTACTGTATGGGCCCTTCCCTTGCTTCAGTGTCAAGGGAGAAGCAGACCCAGTGACTGGAGTGAGACCCATGCGTCTCAAGGAGGCAAGGTTCTGATGTCCCTCCCTGTGTGTCACACCCACCCACAGGAAAAAAAGAAAGCCATGCAGGAGGAGGAAGAGAAGGACCAGGCGCTGCAGGCGAAGGCCAACCTAGCCATCCCTCTCGTGCCCGAGTCAGAGGACGACCGCAGACTGGCTGCCCTGCTAAGGCTGCACACCCTGGACTGTGAGTGGTGGCACCAGACCAGAAGCTTCATGGGAGGCAGAGGTTGCATGCAGGGTTTGGGGGGCACCTGGTCCCTAGGGGACCTTGTTGCTTACAGTGGTGGGAGAAAGCTCAAGGGGTGTGCATATGCTATGCACACTTTGCCCCTGAACCTCGGACCCTTGCACGATACCTTTTCTTCCCCACAGCCTATGAGGACAAACAGAAACTGAAGCGCACGGAGATCATCCACCGCTCTTGGTTCCCCTCGGCCCAGGGACCCAGTGCTAGCAGCAGCAAAGCTAGCACTGTCCTGAAAAAGTTGTGCCAGGGCCGCAGACCACCCCCCAGCACCACGGGCACAGTGGGGGACCTGGGCATAGTGAGGAGAAGGTCTCAAGAAGTTCCAGAAAGTCCCCAGTGTGCAGCAGACAGTCCCTTGTCAGCAGAACCAAGAGGGCCACCAGGAGCCAACCAGGACAGACCTCAAGAGACAGCAGAATCCACGAGGAACTGTAGAAACCAGGCCTTACCCCTGGGTTCCTCCCAGGAGGACCTGCTACGCCCCAGCAACCCCAGTGCCTCCCTGGTGGCTGACTACTCGGACTCAGAGAGCGAGTAAGGGAGTCAGAATTCCAGGGACCAGAAGCCATTACTTGTCCAGACCTTACGGACTGCAGGCCTAGCCACAGACTTCTCTCCCTATAGAGATCATTATTTATTTAGTTTCGCTGAAGATGTCTGTGCCTTGGTAGAACCCCTGACACCGTAACATTAAAGCCCTGTTCTTTGTCCCTGCCTTGGGTTGCTAAAGTCACCTAGTAGCTGTCCTTCCTTCATTTCCACCCAACTAAGCAGATGCTGCTGCAGCCACTATTATGACAGCAGTGTCCCCACACAGCAGGATGGGGGCTTTGAGATACCGGATCAAGATTGGCCATGGCCTGGAGTGGCATCCTGTATGAGCTGTCGGGGACTACACAGGAAGGTTGAAAGAGGGTCAGGCTGCTGGAGCCACAGACAAAACACTAGAGTTGGGCAGGAAGGACATCCAGGCTGCATGCCATAAGCTGGGGTCAGCCACTCATGATGACCCAGCTAGTAGGGGTGCTTGTGAAACAGCCATCAAAAACACCCTCATCCAAACAGTGCTGAGCACACTCCCAGTAAGGACAAGGTGTGGTCCAGTCCAACCTGGGCTATAAAGAGAAATTCCTGTGTTTGAGTGTGTGGTTTTGTTTTGTGTTTTGTTTTTTAAGATGGGGTTTCTCTGTCCCTGACTGCCCTGGAACTCACTATGTACACTAGGGGAACTCAAGACTCCCAAGTGCTGAGATTAAGGTCTGAGGTTTATTTTTAATTAAGCGTTTGCATTACAAGTATGTTGTCCCACCGAGGTCAGAAGGGGCCTCTGTAATGAGGCTGAGGCAGACATGAAGCCATCTGGGAACCGAACTCTGGTATGAACTCTTAAACCACTCAGCAATCTCTTCAGTCCTTAAGGATAAAAGTTCTTCATTGTACTTGTTTTTGTTTTTCGAGACAGGGTTTCTCTGTGTAACAGCCCAAGCTGTCCTTGGAACTTGCTCTTTTAGACCAACCTGGCCTCGAACTCTCAGAGATCCGCTTGCCTCTTGCGCCACCATCGCCTGGCTTGTACTTTTAAAGAAATGGGGCTAAAAGTGGTCCAAGGAAGGTCGTTTGTCTCAGTGATTAAGCGCTAGGTGTCTGTGAACCGAAGCCCAGCAAAGCTGAGACTGCCGAATTATCGCTTCAGTAACCGATGAACAGTTCTGGGCAAAAATAAGCCCACCAAGCACCCTCACGCATTTGCTGCGACACCGGAAGAAGCTAATCGCTGGGCAGCCTGGGCTGCGTGTGTGCATGCGCAAGCGCCAGCACCAGGACGTGGCTCCGCCCCGCAGCCTGTGCGAGCTGCCGTGTGGCCCAACGCGCCAGGCACCATGCGTTTGGAAGCAATTCGCTACTCGCCCGGCTCGCTGCAGATCCTCGACCAGCTGCAGCTGCCTGAGCATTGCCGCTACGAGGCACTGACTTCGGTGCAGCAGGCCAGGGATGCCATCCGCGCCATGAAGGTGCGCGGCGCCCCCGCCATCGCGCTGGTGGGCTGCCTCAGCCTGGCGGTGGAGCTGCGGGCTGGCGCCGGCGGTCCCGGACTTACAGCTCTGGTGGCCTTCGTGCAAGATCAACTGCGCCTCCTCGTCGCCGCCAGGCCCACTGCTGTCAACATGGCCCGTGCCGCCCGCGATCTGGCTCGCGTGGCAGCTCGGGAGGCGGAGCGGGAAGGCGCCACCGAGGAGACGGTGCGGGAAAGGTACGGGATCCTGGACCAGGCAGTGCAAACAGAAGCCACTGACTCCCTTCTCCCCTTCTACATATACCAGGAAGCAGGCATGTGCCGCGTCTAGGGCCCACTAGTAGGACTGAAGGTCCATCCCTGCGCCGTGTTCTCCAGGTCCTTGAACTCAGCCCCTTAGCAGCTCCGCGCCAGCTTTATGACACCCGTCCGGTTAGGTTTTACCATGAGGTCTTCTACACTCTCCTGCTTTCCTCTCTACATTTCTCTTTCCCTTCCTACTTCCGGTCATGCCACTTCATTCTCAGTGTTCTGTTGAACCTGTCAGGTTCCTGCTCCCTCCTCTCCCCTTCTGTAATAACACCTTGTCCCCAACTCTGCCTTCATGTCCTTCATTTTACCAGGTTAATCGACTACCTCTCCCACCCTAATATCATCACCGCAGAGACAGAGGGGTTTGTTGTGTTTGCTACTGTGCCCCACCCCCAGCATCTGGCTCCCATACACGGGTTTAGTGAGTAGAGTGACAGGAGTATCCCCAGAGAAGGTCCCAGGAGAGCAGCTAGCCAGGTCATTTCCAGCAGTGCTAAGAGCCCCTATTGTCCCCAGAGTCATCCGCTTCGCTGAGGATATGTTGGAGAAAGACCTCAAAGATAACCGGAACATCGGGGACTTGGGAGCCCGCCACCTCCTGGAGCACACCAACCCCAGGGGTGGCAAGGTGACTGTGCTGACACACTGTAACACTGGCGCTCTGGCTACTGCTGGCTATGGTACAGCCCTAGGTGAGGCAGCACCGTCAATTGTTGGGGCGTGGGAGGGTCTTTTTGGGGTGCATGGCAAAGCACCTTGAACTTGGGGTGTTGTTCAATGGCAAGAGTACCTGCTCAGCTGGGGCTGGGTCAGCAGTTAAGAGTTGGTCTTAATTAAAGCAAGCCTTTAATCCCAGCACAGAGATCCCCGCGGATCTCTGTGAGTTCAAGGCCAGCTTGGTCTACACAACAAATTCCAGGGCAGGCTCAAAGCTACAGAGAAACCCTGTACTCAAATTACTTCAGCCACAGAAATGTGGATTTTGGTTTGGTTTTTTTCAAATACCACACAGTATCAAAAGATGGTGTTGGATACTCTGAAGCTGGAGTCAAAGGTGGTTGTGAGCCTCCACGTGGATGTTAGGAACCAAGTCAGGCCTTCTGAGAACAGAAGTGCTCTTAACCACTGAGCCATCTCCAGCCCAGGATTAGTTTGTTGTTGTTGTTTTCCCTACCCCTGTAGATTCATTTCTGTACACAGACACTGGAAAGTTGTTTGCAGGTGTGGGTATATCAAGGAGTTCAACCATTGGCGTTAGGACACTGTCCCTCATTTTGCCCATGGATTGAAGTAATTCTGCTATCAGAGACTAGAAACTTCCCTGGGTCGCCTGCCTGACTTTGGCCACATGCCTGGAGAAGGGGCATGGTGTTGACTTCCAGAGGACTGGGAACAGAGAGACATACCCTGAGTAGGACTGGGGAAGCTGTGACCAGGACAAGGACATAGGGATTTGGGAATCAAGGCAGCAGAGTTGTCCTGGCCCCTGGCTGTCCAGGAAGCTCTCCTGTCTGCACCCTGGGAACCCAGGTCTTCAGAACAAGGCTCATGTGTCCCGTTCATTGACTCTGCCAGCATTCACCGAGCAACTACTCACTTCCAGGGAGAGGAAACACAGCTATGAACTGTGGAAGAGATGCCAGGCATCTGCAGCCTGGGGTACAGGGGGATGACAAAGGACTTAGAGGTGTAGGTCGGTAGTGGGGCACCGCTGGGCATCCTCCATTAAGGAGCCAGGTGTGTGGGTCAGCTCTAAGCAGCTGCCCAATGCAATGTCATGCGTTCCATCCATCTCCAATACCGCAGAACAAACAAAAAATAAATAAATTATTAGAAGGTACTAAAGCCCCTCAGCAGGCTGGGGCAAGAAGATCATATTTGAAGAGTTCATCAGAGTCATATAGCAAGACCCTGTCTCAAGAGTGTTGAACGTCCTAAATGACAAGGACGGGGCAGGGACTAAAGATCAGAGGGGTGGGACCGCCTTGTGAGACTGAGGAATCGCGGGGTATCAGAAAGTGGATATAAAGATGATAAGGGTCGGGCACGGGAATAGCAACAGCAAAGGCTGGAGGCCATGTGAGCCTCAGCACTTGCAGCCCAGTCTCAGGGCCACCCTGCTTGTCTTGTGGCTGCCCCGCAGGTGTGATCCGCTCCCTACATGAGATGGGCCGACTGGAGCATGCCTTCTGCACAGAGACCCGGCCCTACAACCAGGGAGCCCGGCTGACAGCCTTCGAGCTGGTGTATGAGCAGATCCCTGCTACTCTCATCACGGACAGCATGGCTGCTGCCGCCATGGCGCACCAGGGTGTGTCAGGTCAGTGGGCTGGACACAGTGGCTCAGGTAGTGCTGTGGGCATCCCAAGCCAGGTATGTGACTTTTCCAACTCTCCCTCACTCCCCCAGCTGTGGTAGTGGGAGCTGACCGTGTCGTTGCCAATGGAGACACAGCCAACAAAATAGGCACGTACCAGCTGGCCATTGTCGCCAAGCACCACGGCATCCCCTTCTACGTGGCTGCCCCCAGCTCATCCTGTGACCTCCATCTGGAGACTGGCAAGGAGATTGTCATAGAGGAGCGCCCTAGCCAGGAGCTGACTGACCTGAATGGAATCAGGATTGCGGCACCGGGTAAGGTGTGGGTGTGGTGCTCGGTGCTGTGGGCCTCAGTGGCAGGAGCTGCTTTGCTCATTCAAGCTCCTCAGCAGGATTCTGGTGGTCGAGGTTAAATTCGAAGTCAGACTTCGTAAACAGTGCTCGGTGGCTGGAGGTGGGGCTCAGTGGGTAGAGTGTTGGGGTAGGGACTTAAGTTTGGTGCCCAGAACCAACTCTTTAAAAAGACAGCTGTGGTGGCACAGGTGTTTTGTTTGTTTGTTTTTGTTTTTATTTATTTATTTATTAGACAGGGTTTCTATGAGTAGATAGCTTTGACTATTCTGAAACTTGCTTTGTAGACCAGTATAACCTTGAACTCACAGAGATCCGTCTGCCTCTGCCTCCCAAATCCTGGGATTAACGGCACTCTCCACCACTGCCCAGCATGGCACAGGTTGGTTGGTTGGTTGGTTGGTTGGTTGGTTGGTTGGTTGGTTTTTTGAGACAAGGTTTCTCTGGGTATCTTTGGCTGTCCTGGAACTCACTCTGTAGACCAGGCTGGCCTCGAACTCACAGAGATCCACCTACTTCTGCCTCTGGGTGCTGGGATTAAAGGCATGTGCAACCACACCCAGTTTATGGCACAGGTTTATAATCCCAGTGCTGGGGAGAAAGAGAAGGCAGATCCCTGGAGCTTCTAGCCAGTCTCAGGTTCAGTGAGAGACCCTGTCTCAAAGAGTAAACTGGATGGTTCCTGAGAAACCAAAGCTGAGGTTGGCTGCTAAACTCTATAGGCAAGAGAACATGCGCGCGCACACACAACAGTGCTGGAGTGGTGGTGTAACCCTGTAAGCCCGGCATCCCGGAAGCCCAGGCAACAGAGCCACACAGGCTCAAGACAAGGCAGTAGAAGAGAATTTCAGGCTAGTGTGTTCTGCCAAGTGAGGCTCTGTCTGAACAAGCGTCTACACAGACAGCCAGGGACAATGGGACATAGCAGGGCTCCCAGCATTGGACTGAGGCAGGAGGGCTGCTGAGAGTTCAGGATTATCCTGGGCTACATAGTGAGACCCCATCTCAAAAATCAGAAAGAGCCAGGTAGTGGTGGCACACACCTTTGATCCCAGCACTGGAGAGGCAGAGGCAGGTGAATATGAGTCTGAGGCCAGCCTGGTGTACAGAGCGAGTTCCAGGACAGGCTCCAAAGCTAAAGGGACCAAGGATGTGACTAAGACATGGAACACTTGCCAGAATGCACAAGGCCTGAGATTCCAATATACATCAAAAACTTCTTACATTAAAAATAATCAAAATACATTGTATACACATAAGAAAGTCTTAAAGAATAAACAAGATATTTTCAAGTCATTTGCTGATCTCGGTGGTACACATCTGATGAACCTAGGGGGTAGAGGCAGGAAGACGAGGACTTCAAAACCAGCCTCGGCAACATAGAAAATTTGAGGCCAGCCCAAGCTACGTGTATGACCCTGTGTTAGACAAGTAATTACATATTTTTTAAAAAATATTTATTTATTTATTATGTATACAATATTCTGTCTGTGTGTATGCCTGCAGGCCAGAAGAGGGCACCACACCCCATTATAGATGGTTGTGAGCCACCATGTGGTTGCTGGGAATTGAACTCAGGACCTTTGGAAGAGCAGGCAATGCTCTTAACCACTGAGCCGTCTCTCCAGCCCCTAATTACATATTTTTTTAAATTGACTTTGAAAACATCTATGAAGGACTCCTCCCCGTGCTCAGAATCCCCAAAAACAGATTCTGAAGGTCTTAAAATCTTTGGAGCCTGCAAGATTGGGGACCAGAAGACTGAGGCCTTCTTGAGCAGCAGGAGCTGTGGCTGTGTTACTAGCTTCAGTACCTGCACCGTCTTGAACTATTTGGTATGGTGAATACCTAGATTCTCAAGGACTTTCTAACCCCAGCCAGGCAGTGGTGGCTCATACCTTTAATCCTAGCACTCAGGAGGCAGAGGCAGAGGCAGGTGGATCTCTGTGAGTTTGAGGCCAGCCTGGTCTACAGAGTGAGTCCCAGGACATGCTCCAAAGCTACAGAGGAAACCTTGTCTTCAAAAAAAGAATTGCTGGGCTGGAGAGATGGCTCAGTGGTTAAGAGCACTGACTACTCTTCCAGAGGTCCTGAGTTCAATTCCCAGCAACCACATGGTGGCTCACAGCCATCTATAATGAGACCTGGCGCCCCCTTCTGGCTTGCGGGCACACATGGAAGGAATGCTGTACACATAATTAGTAAATAAATATTTAAAAAAAAAAAAAGAATTGCTGTGGTGAGGACAGGCAGCAGCAGCCAGGGTGTTCTCAGGGCCAGCCCTGCCTTACATGCCCTCCCTCTCTCCCTGCAGGAATCCGGGTTTGGAATCCTGCCTTTGATGTCACCCCCCATGAACTCATCACTGGTGGTATCATCACTGAGCTGGGTGTCTTTGCCCCTGAGGAGCTCCAAGCAGCCCTAAGTGCCTTCTCAGAGGGACAGACCCTAGATAGTCCCCAGATGTGACTCCCCAACCTTCCCTGGTTCCTCTGATTTTGTAATAAAGTTTTCAAATGGCTACCCCAAAGCTCATCCTCACCCATACCCCTCCTCCAGCTGCTAGAGCAGACGAGATTTACCCAGCTCTGCAGAGTCCCAGCATCCACAACAAAGCTGCCCACGATCACATTCCGGCTCCATCCTTTGTATGACTGATGCCAAGGCAGGTGTCAGGGGGTACACACCTGTAATCCCAGCTCCTGGGAAACTGAGGCTGGAGGATTTCTTTGTGTTTTAGGCTACTCTGGGCTACTGATTGAAAAACAAAACAGAAAACCAATGTATAATCAGAATGATCTTAGCTGTCTTTGAACTACTTGTTTGTTTTGATTTTTTTTTTTTTTTTTTTTTTTTTTTTTTTGCAAGACAGGATTTTTCTAGGTCACCTTGGATGTCCTAGAACTCTGGACCATGCTGGCCTTTAATTCATAAAGATCCTGTCTGCCTCTGCCTCCTGAGTCTGGGATTAAAAGCATGCACCCCTACGACCTGGCCATTTATTTTATGTATGAGTGCTTTACTTGCAAGTGCCTGGTGCCCTCTGAGGCCAGAAAAAGACACTGGATCCTCTGGGCCTGGATGGTTGTGAGCTGCCATGTGGGTGCTGGGAACAAAACCCAGGTCCTCTCTGCAAGAGCAACAAGTGCTCTAAAAGAGGACACCAAAATTCAGTAATCAAGATAAATGTTTGTCTTTTTAAGACAGCATCTCTATATCTTCCTGGCTGGCCTAGAACTCACAGAGATCCTCCTGCCTCTGCCTCCTGAGCAAAGGGTAAAAAGTGTGAGCCACTACAACCTGCTTTGCTTTAATGTTGTGAGAGTATCTGTACCTGGAACTCCACCATTAGGCGAGGCTACAGGGACTCTCCTGTCTTCAGCCCCCTCAGCACTAGGATCGAGGTATGAGCGCGGTCACTCATTGAGGATGGAACTCAGGTCCTCACGCATGAACAGTAAGCACTTTACCTGCTGAGTGATAATCCCAACCACCAGACATATTTTAAATCTTTTAATATCGAAAAGAAGCTGGGTGGTGGTGGCGCATGCCTTTAATCCCAGCACTCAGGAGGCAGAGGCAGGGGGACCTCTGAGTGTGAGGTCAGCCTGGTCTACAAAGTGAGTTCTAGACAGTTAGGTCTTACACAGAGAAACCCTGTCTCAGAAACCCAAATATAAGCCAGGGTGGTGGTGGTGCATGCCTTTAATCCCCCCAGCACTCAGAAGGCAGAGGCAGGCAGATCTCTGTGAGTTTGGGGCCAGCCTGGTCTACAAAAGCTAGTTCCAGGACAGGCTCCAAAGCTACAGAGAAACCCAGTCTTGAAAAAAAAACCCAAATATATCTAATTATTGAAAAGATCATAACTGATGCTGTGACTGTGGCTGCTTTTGTGCTGCGAGTGTGAAGCTAAACCATCCCAGCACAACTGCAAAATTAATGTATCATGATAGCCTAAGGGCTTATGACCTGTTTATTTATTATGTGTGTGAATGTGGTTAAAAGACAATCTGAAGGAGTCAGTTCTCTGACTGATTAAGCGAATGCCCCACCACCCAGGATTGAACCGAAGTGATTTGACAGGGCGGCAAGCGCCTTCACCCCCAGGGCCATCTCCCCAGAGACTACTGAAGTTTTTTGGCACTCCCTTAATTTTCCACCTTGCTTGCCTCACCCCAAGCCTAATTTGAACCTTTATGTATAAGAAGCACAAACCATCGCATTTTATAATACATAAGTGTCCTGACCCCTGAAAATGGTAACATAATTTTCCTTTGAATTCTTGGACAGCCGTTCCTCTAAGAGTGTCGCTCTGGGTCCACTGAGGCCTGAAGGGCCCACTGTAGCCAGTGACGTCATGCGGAGTTCCGGCTCTCCTGCACGTCGCCCCGCCTCTTCCGGCTCGTGGTACAACATGGCGCAGGGACAGCGCAAGTTTCAGGCGCAGAAACCTAAAAGCAAGGCGGCAGCTGCGGAGCGGAGCCGAGGGCCGAGGAAAGGCGGTGAGGAACCGGGTCGGGAGGAGGGCGCGAGGGCGGCGGAGCTCGGGGAGGGCGGTCACGTCTCACTGGCTGGTGTCACTCCGCAGGTCGAGTCATCGCTCCCAAGAAGGCGCGCGTCGTGCAGCAGCAAAAGCTGAAGAAGGTGAGCGGAGCGCAACGGTGGTGACCCGGAATGGGAGCGGGCGGACGGGACTCCCGGTTCCGAGTCTGTGTCCTCCCTTGTTCGGTGGATCCAGACCCGCACTTAGCTTCTGGGGGGTTCAGATGTGTGTTAAGGACAGTCAGCCTGTAGCCTCGGGTTTTGTGTTTATTTTATATGTGCATTAGTGTTTTACCTGTGTGTGCGTGCATCAAGTGTGTGCATCAGAAGAGAATGCCCAATCCCCCAGAGCTAGAGTTAGTGACGATTTTGAGCCGGAACGGTGGTTTTAGGGATCACAAGTGCTACAGGCCGGCGTGATAGCCACGCCTTTGATCCTTACACTCTCTGGCAGGTCCAGGCTGATCTCTGAATTCAAGGCCAGCCTAGTCTATTTGTTTTAATTATATGTGGGTGGGTGGGTGGGTGTGAGCCCATGCCCAGAGAGGCTAGAAGTACTGGCTGCTTTTCCACTAGATCTCAATTCCGTTTCTAGCACCCACATGGCAGCTCATAACCGCCTGTAACAGTCGTAGGGGATTTCCAATGCCATCTTTTATAGGCACTGCATGTATGTGGTACACAGATATACATGTGAGCAAAACACTCATACATACAAGTAAAAAATTAATTAGGAAAATTAGAGGCTCTCATCTGGCTTAATCTTGAATAGATCATTCTATCTCCTCAGATACCTCCTAGGCAGGTTACCCAGAAGCCTACTCTGCTCCTTGAGGTACCCACTCTCAGGTCCTTAAGTGAGTTTCTTCCACAGTCTGCCGCGGGACCACTTTGCTTCCTTGAACTCAGCTCCTATCCAGTCTAGTCCTTTTAGCGTACATCCAGAATCCACCTATTTCTGCCACCTCTCACCCACCTTCCAGGTTGGACCCTAGTTGACTTTATCCTCTCCTGCTGTAGCTGCTGAGGCATCTGCCTCTGCCCATAACCCTCCATGGCTGCTTCCTGCTCAGCAAAAGCCCAAGTCCTTCGTCTCCATCCTCACTGCCTTCATCCTTTTTTCTGTCCCTCTGGCCTTACTGGCCCTTTAAGGACTCTTTGTCCCGCTGCTAGATGTGTTCTTTTCACCTGAGCATGGTAACACACAGGCCCATAGTGGTAAGTCAAGGCAAGGGAAGCTTGAATCTGAAACCATTCTCAAAGAACAAAAGGAAGGGTATGTGTGTGTGTTCAAGCTGGGGAGAATAAGGGCTTGCTCTGTGTCCCCCACAGAGCTTGGAAGTGGGGATCCGGAAGAAGATTGAGCATGATGTGGTGATGAAGGCCAACTCCAGCCTGCCTAAGAAGCTTACACTGCTGAAGGATGCATCGAAGAAGACAGGGGCCACCACCTCCAACAAGACACCATCCTAAAGGCACTGGGACTTTGCACGTGACCCCACAGGCTGGCCGGACCTGAAGAGGACCCTGTTCCAGTTCTGATGGCACCTGGGACAGCAATGGGCAGGTGATGATAAAGCTGGAAGCTTCCTGGTACTGAAGAGGCACTTGACTTCCTGTGGGTGACACGTTGTAGTGAACCTGGCTCTGTTGTCCCGCCAGCTCTCAAACAGTTCAATTGAGAGGCCATTTGGAGGCTAGGTGAGCCTCATTGTCTCCACAAGAAACTTCTCCCGCCCATGCAGTGCCCTTGACAGCCACAGACCCCAGAACGAGCGATGACATCTATACCTGTAGCTGGCAGCTGGGAATTGTCTCTTCCCCAGGTCACTCCAGTCACCTAGTGTTGTCGCTGTCCTGTACATAAAGAAAGGTTCTGTATCTTCAGTGAGGTGCCACCTCATCCTGCCACACTAGGGATCCAGAGCCACTTGGGGGTGCTCCAGTGTTACCCAATAAAGCTGTGCTCACAGAGGCCATGTGCCATTCTTGTGCTTTCCTGCACTACCTCCTGACACTCTGGAACCGGGACCTGGTCAGCTCAGCCACCCTTCTCCGTGGCACAGCTCTGTCCAGTGAGGGGCTCACACCCTTGGCAGTCCCCCCAACTGTTGGACCAGATGTTGAAATGTTCTATGCAGGATGCTGGACATGGTGCCATGTCCCTTGGTGTGGCCCTGGGACAAGCGATGAGTACGCTAGTGGCCTATTCCTTTATGCCCAGCCAGTTTGCCTACTGAGGAAGCAGAAAAGTGAGGTTCACTAGTGACTGCCCCAAGCCCTGACTGGGTAAATTTGTTCCCAGACAGTTGGAATTTAATGTTAAGACTGTCTGATGCTTCCGTGTTGGCTCCTGGCTCACCGTGGCTGCTAGGGATCAGATCCACTTGTGTGTGCTTAGCGAGCTGTCTGAGCCACACCCTAGTCTAAGCTCCCAATGCACTTGCAAGGCAGAGGAAGGACCTGCTGGACTTTAGTCCTGCCAGGACACAGATGCTCTGCTCTGAGCATAGAGGACTCCTTTAGAGGTTGTGGCTTACTTCAAGGCTGGACCTTGAAGGGCTGCCTCACCACGTCTACCTTTTGGTACCCTCGCCACAGATCCCGAGAAATGGGTCATCCCATTGTGGATACAGAACCATGAGCTCATCAGTGGCCTTCCTGGTTTAGTTTGGTTTTCTGAGACAGGGTCTCCCTGTGTAGCCCTAGCTGGCTTAGAACTCACTGTGTAGACCAGGCGGGCCTCAAACTCAGCTGTACATGCTCTGCCTCCCACGTTCTGAGATTACAGGGCATTGTGTCTCTGTGTATGTGCTGAGTCTGGGTGTCTCGGGAGGCCAGAAGCTGCGCTCTGAAGCTGGAATTGGGCGGCTGTGAGCCACCCTATGGGTATAAGGAGTGAAAGCTGTTAGCTACTGGGCTTGTGCTCTAGCCCTGCAGGTGCTTTGAGGCAGGCAGACTTCTGGAGGTGTCCAAGCT